GCAGAAGTTCCAGGCTGTGAGAAGAAAGAGTCGTTTGCGGTGAAGAGAGGGTTGGAACTGTTGTAGGCTCGTGATTGACGGCTGCAGTGGGATGCGGCATCTTTTCCCGATGCATGGCCATGTGGCAACCTAGGCCCTCCTCTGGTTAGGTATGGTGTTGCTACAGCATTTGACGGAAATCCCGGACAGAGACATCGCCATAGTCCGTCGTTGACGAATGGGCGGGGTGGCATTGGCGTTGACGGTGTACAGTGCCAAAGTTTCAATGCGGGAGCATGAGATGCAGCATCCGTGCGCCGCCTCGGTTCGGCGCTGCACTACATCATACAGGATCATTAGCTGCATACGAAATCACAGGTAGGAGCTTAGTTTATTACTATATGCACACACGCACTTTTTAAGTGCTTTTCAAATCCCGTACCGAATCGCAAAAGGGTATATACGCCCAAATACCATCCTATCTCATGCATAACCCGTGCCACTCTCCCCATCATATTATGTCGAAACAGCATCCTGCGTAGCGTTTCGTACCCTCCCTAAAGTGCCAAAGAAATAACCGTTGAAATCTTCACAGCCATCTGCTCATCTCCTTACGATTTGCTCCGAAAGAAGCTCCAGTACCTGTACCAGTCAGCTCATGATCGCATGCAAAGAGAGTTAGCACATACCTTTGGTGATATTACGTCCTGGTTCACCAAGTGCTTGCTCAGGATCTTGACAACATCCATTTGCTCCTCGTAGGTCAGTCCGGTGACGGCTGCTTCGATCACTCCACCGACGGTAGTGTGGTGAACAGCGATGAAACTCGAGTAGTAGAAAAATGCAATAGAGCCCATGATGAACTGACAGTCCATGCGATCAGTCATTCCACCGTGACCGGGAATAGAGTCACCAAAGTCCTTAATCTTGAATGTGCGCTTGAGACCAGAAGCGAAGAAGCCACCGAAAGGCGCGATGAGAGACGCAAAAGTTCCGAGCATGATGACGTGGAATTGCACAGGCATGATGCTGAAGGTGCGGGGAATCGGAAGACCCTCGGGAAGGAAGGGAACAGAGTAATCGCGCGCGACGAAGACAGGGTTGGGTCGGCACTCAAGGCCAGACCAGATGTTTGCGCCAAGGTCGTTGACAGGGCAGATGAAGTACTTGTATCGTGCAACAAAGTGGGTAACGAGGACACCCCAGAGAACGGTGAAGAACCAGGCGCCTAGGAAACCTTCCCATGTCTTCTTGGGCGAAATCTGGATGAGGGGTGTCCTTCCAAAGGTGATGCCGCAAAGATAGGCCCAGATGTCGTTGCAGATGACCATGGAGACGGGGAGGATGAACCAGATGAAGCCTTCGAAAATATTGTTGATGACAAAGTGTGCCTGCCCGACGATGAGGAAGAGAGCCATGTGCGTCCAGGCGAACTGGGTGAACTGGAACTTGTAGTGGCCCTTTTGCAGTGAGAAGACGAAGAAGATGAAGCCTGGAGGAGTTAGTTTAGGTGGCATGTACAGGGTTCTAGGACATACCGATAATGTACAGCATAAAGGAGATGAACCTGTGGTGGGTAGCCAGGGGGAGCAGCAGACGGTCAACCATGAGAACATGCTTGAAGTAGTATATGACACTCTCGCCGTAGAGAAAGTACATGGCAGTGCCCAGGAAGTACCAGTTGAGCGACTTGGTGAAGCGCAGGCTGCGGGCCTTGCTGGGAACGTTTGCGATTGCGATGACCTCCTTGAAGGATATGACCTGGACCGCCGTGACGATGATGATTATGAAGAGGTGGCCGGCACCCAGCGCCCAGAAGAAGCCGGCAATCATGACGAGGGTCCATACGGTGCGCGTTATGAAGTTTGCCTTTTTCTTCTCGTACTCGCTCTGGGGGGGTTGCTCGGCGGACTGGCGCGGTCAGCTGGTGGACGGGTAGGCAGAAAAGCAGCAACATACCGGAGGCGTCGTCTCCTCCTTGATGGTGGGACTGCCCGGGTCGCTGAACTCGGACATGCTCTGCGAGGGTCTCCGGGCTCTTCCATTGCTGGCGCTGCGGACCTGGTGGTTGAACTTGACGTCCTTTCTTGGACGCGCCATGGTGGGCGAGGGAGCGGCGGGTTGCGCCGGGTGTGGTGTGGGAGGATAGGGGGCAGCCGGGGGAGGACCGGACTGGAAGGCGCGATGGCGTGAAGGGTGTGTAGGGTGGAGGAAGGCGGGGTGGTGAGGGTCGAGTGTTGGCAGCAAGCTACTAGTCCGACTGACTGGGCAGGTTGTGAAATTGCGGACAAGTAACATCGGGCAGACGTCATGGCCGCCTGCGCTTAGCGACACCCTGCATGTGAATTTCCCGGCCCAACACAGCAAACTACACAACGCGTCGCGCCCCGCATTGCGACCGCTTTGGGACATGCACACGCGGACGCCAGCTGGCAGATGGTCCGATAATGGCTGACGACGACCTGGACGACTTCTCTGACGATGACTTCGACGACCTGCCCGCCAACGCGCTCGACGACCTCGAGGCAAGCGCCATCAGGGCGACACAGCAGCCACAGCAGCAGCAGCTACTGTTTGACCCAGAGGCCGATTCCGACGACTACGGCCTTGAAGATGGCGACGAGGTAGTCAACTTGGACGACGCGTCTGGTCCCCCGCGTGCGTCGCAGGACTACGACTACGCTTACGACTACGACCACAACCAGAATGGAGACGGGCAAACATACCATGGCCAGATGGAAGTGGAAGAGCAGCCACGCCCGTCGCAGGCTGACCCTAACGCGCTACTTCAGCGTATCAAGAAGGTGCGATGCATGCCCCCTCGGTTTCCACTCGTCTCACTAAACATCGCAGTTAGAGCAAGACAAGGCGCGCGAGAGAAGAGAAGCCGACGAGCTGAAAGGGAAGCTACAGACAAAGTCGGGCGAGGCCGACACCCTCCGAAGACGCTACGATGCCGAAAGTCGTCGACACGAGCGCCAGCTGGCCGACCAGCAGCAGGCGCACGGTACTGAACTCGCCAAACTGCGTGCCGAGATGGAGAGGCTGCGCCAGGAGAAGGAGTCGGTACAGACGGACAACATGTTCAATCAGCATGACGCACGAGAGACGAGCATCGCGCGACGGCCTGGGAGAACCATGCCGTCACGGCCAAAGTCGGGTCCGCCCGTCGTCAGTCCAGCCGGCACCCCGAAGAAGGGGCAGAAGACAAGAGGTCCGCTGGGCGATGGCTTCGCTGATGACGATGTTATCATGGCGTCACCGTCCAGGCACGGCGAGAGGCAGAAGACGGCGACACCCAAGCAGGCGGGCAAGAGGAAACGACAGACGATAGACCAGAGCCCCATACCATTGCCTGCGCTGTCGCTGAGCCAGCCACGAAGCCAACCAAAAGAAGAAGAGCCAGCGCCTGTCGCAGCACCTACGCTAGATGTTGGACTACTCGAGCACTTTCGACGCGACGATCAACGATTCACCCTTCTTCATCGTCTGCTCTCACACACGTCCTCGAATGGCACCGATCGCATACTCGAAGCACTTACCCTGCATGCATTTCCGTCTGACGTATCCAAGAAGCTGTCTTCGATTGTGTATGATGCACTAGCGAACATAGCCACTGCTGATGTGCACGAGTTAGCGCTACAGATATGTCACATCTTTCTTGATCTATGGAAGCGCTGTCAGACTGAGAAGTACTATGCTCCGATTTCGTTGATCCTGGATGCGCTGCACTTCGTTCTGGCATGTGAACCGACCGAGACTGCGGTCAGCATAGCAGACCGCGTCGTACCGCTCATCATCGCCTCCGTTGATCTTGTAGCCGATCCCATCTCGAAAGCAGCCAAAGGAGGTGAGAAAGCTATTGCCGACCTCTACTCTCCAAAGCAACGGGAAATTGCGTCTCGCATCGACGTCGAGGACTGTCTTGAACTACTGTATCTCGTTGCGAGCAGCTGTCTTTCGTCAGTAGACTCTGAAGCTATAATCCGTTTGTGGCAGGCAATACCCTCGACCTTCGCTATAATGCTCCTTGTCAAAGAGCAGCCACAATCACAGATCATGCTCATGTTGCGCATACTTGATACCTCTGCACTACCTACCTCAGTAGGACCTATAACCACTGCGGATTCTCCTCAAGACAATCAAGCAAACAACGAAGATGCTCTCATCAATCGCCTCACCAATCTTTTCACCGAGATACCCAAGCTCATCCCCGATCCTGCGGCTTCTCCCAGTGCACTTCTAGCACTCTCCGAAGCAGACCTCTGGGACCTCCGCTTTCTCGTCATCTCAGTACTTACACAGTTCTCTGTTCCAGAGTACGGCTCCAGTCGTCTGGCCCAGAATCGTCTTTGCATCGGCCGACTGATCAAGTACCTTGATCATTGCGTTACAAGCCTCTATCGGCATCCCATCTCGCCGACTCAAGACCGGAAAGTCGATTCCATCAATGCTACGATGAAGCTGATCTATCACGTCGCGATGACGAATGCCAACTTCGATGTCAAGAGCAAGTTGGTGAATACGCTGGGCGGGCAGCATGCCTATCTCGTTGCGCTTACCCGCTTGGCGTTCAGCGAGGGACTAGTGCTAGAAGCGGGAATCGAAGACGAGGTCGTGAACATGGCGCATGACATCCTAGATGAGGGACTGAGCATGGAAGAGGGTGATGCTTTTGGAAAAGTGTTTAGTAGTGGAAGCACTGTCTAGACACATCGGGTAGCCATCTTCCGAACATGCGCCGCAGGTGTCAGACATGCAACGCAGCACCCACATCCTCAACTTCCAGTAGTATCACGACTCCGGCGTTTCCCCTACAGGAGCAAGCTCACACATGATTACGACGTCCATTCCTTATAGTTGGCAGCAGGCATAGACATCGACATCTTGTATAACCACTCATCTGGTTCACACATAATTGTATTACTAGGGCTCATGACGGTACTGCATTGGGCGGCGTTTAGGACATTGGAATCAATCATTCATATCCAAACAGCGAATGTCCAACACCATCTTCAACACTAAACATGTTTCTGCACCCATCCCAATACCTTCAGCAGAACCTCATCCCCACACTCATCATGTAACAGCTCATGCCTTCCCCCTGCATAAACACCGAATTCTTTATCCTCACTTCTTATCGCCTGCACAAACCTCTCACTGCCCCTCCAATCACAATACGTATCTGCATTCCCATGCAGCACCATCGTCGGCACAGTCCAATCTCCCACTTTCGCCATGACAGCATCCGTAACATCCACAGCCGTAGCAGCAGTCAAGAAGCAGATTGCCTTCTTCGAAAACAACGGATCAGCCAGATACTTTTCAATCTCAGGTCTACACCGTGTAAGGCCTGAGATGTCGACGTGGCGACCCGGTATAGAAGCTGTTGGCATCGTGCGCGCTGCTACGCCTACCGCTAATCTCGCTGCGTAGGGGAACGGACCTGGGAATGCGGGACCGGTGAGAATTACCCCCTTTGTGTCATTTGAATTCAGTGTTACGCTCCCAGCAGTAATGAGGCCACCGAGCGAATGTCCAAACAGTATCACTGGCTTCCCCAGCTTCACGGCGTGGTCGCGTAGTTCAAGGTGATCAACGACGGCTTTTCCCACGTGAGCTACTGCGCGAACATTACCTGGGGAGGAACCGTGACCCCAAATGTCCATGGCGAAGACGGTGTATCCGGCGGCGAGGAAGTGTGTGATGAGGTTGTGGTGCGAGTGTAGGTACCGGGATGCGTATTCCGCGTAACCGTGCTGTAACACAATAGTTGCGGTTGGTTGGGTGTTGGGTATCCATGTGTGCGCTATTGTGCCTGATGAGAGGGTTATGGTTATATGGTTGAGTCCTTGGTTTGGGTCGGGGTTTGGTGCTGGGGTTGGGGGCATGTTGTCGTGGTGATTTGGAAGAGTGGTAGGTTTCCGATACAATGAAGGGACGTTCAACATGTTGACAATTCAAGTCGGTTCAAACTTTGTCCATATATCAGTCTTGCCTGGCTGGTCGTACGAGACCACTCTGTCGCTTGTCGAACTAGGCTCTCGGTCGTCTTAGGCTTCCGGACTGCCGATTTTGTGGCTGCGTTTTGTCGTTAGACATGGCAGATCATGTCACCATGTTACTATTTGTACAAACGAGCCGAAGTGTTAAAGATATTATCTTCATTGGGGACAGACGCGATGTCTGTTAGAGTGAAGTAGATTCCGCCCATGACAACCACGTGGGGTGGGGCACAATGATGTCTAGACAGCTTTGGGCCTAGCGTGTGGAGCGCCTGCTGCGTCTCTACTCTCTGAAGCTGCAAGTTCAATGTATTGTCTTTCGACACAATCGGGTGGGCTGGTCTATGCAATAAATCCTTGGATCACAACAGGTGTACGGGCACCACCCTCACCTCCCCACTCTTAATGCGTTCTTCCGCGTTCCCTTCGTAATACATCATACCATTAACATGAGCTTCACCAACAAGCTTGTAAGCATCTCCTGGAATGCCAAACTCACTGATGTATCTACGCTTCTCTCCCAGACTGCATCTGCGCAGGACAAAAGGTGTCTTTCCGCCCACCAATATGGCTATGTTATCACCTCGCTTGAGGTTCCAGGGCCCAATGCCGAGTTTCCCTGAGCGTGTGACAAAGAGTTGCCGGTTTACACAGGCATTGTTAACAGCTTGGCTGTATCGCTCAATCCATGCGGCTTCTTCTAACGGGCTATATTTCTTCCCGGGCTTGGTCAGACAGTCTGCAGCAACTGTGCAGGTGAAAGCTATTTTTCGCTCCGGAGCTGCCTCGTCAACAAAATTCGACCACTTTGCCGTGTCCAAAGTAGCTCCAGGTCTGTAAACTCCGGCTACTTCCACTATTTCGTCCATACCCAAGCTGAGAAGAGACAAGACGCCGTATTCAAGGCTGAAATGATATCGCAGGGATGAATTTCCTGAGGCACAGTAAGGTCTCGGTCTTCCAGGTAGTCCATGGAGCGGCCGGCTTTCTTCCACCCCAGCGATATTCAGGCTGTAGTTGCGACACCAACTTGCGCTCCTCAGTTCGGCACCAGCCGCTAATCCTAGTACTCGTAGGTTTCCGTAATAGCGGAGACAAGAGACAGTGAATTGCATGAAAACTTTCTCAGGGGTTATGGTGTAGTCTGCATCCAGAAGCGAAGGTTGTCCAGCCTGCAACAAGCCCATCAAGCTGTATATCTTATCTGGACCAAACGTGGCAGACTGTTCGCGAAACTTTTCGACTAGATCTAGCATGGAAAGTCGAACCTTGGAGTCCTCGTGCAGGCTGGCGCGTAGCGTCTGCACAGCTGATGCGAACGCGATCCCTTGTTGATAGCATATGATGTTGGAGAAGAACATGAAATTGCTGAGCTCTCGCCACGTAACGTTGAGTGAACCCCTTTGCACGCAAACATTCTGACTAACGAACGCCTCTTGAATTACCCACACCCGCTGCCACCACTCGTGGCGCAAGACAGCATCGAGTTCTTCTTTGATACTTTCCACGTGCAATTGTGTTCGGAAGCTGCTCAGTAGCTTCTCCTTCTCGTGAGAAGCCGTATTGCTAATATGAAAGATGGTTCCGAGTACGATAGGAGTCGTAGATGTTGCCTCGCCAAACCATATGATCGTTCTGGAAGCCTTACTATAAATATCGCGCATCATCTGCACTTGTGATCCTCTTTCGACAGTATTGGATTTATCAATACACATTGCGTCAATCCAAAGAAAACGATCGCGTTCGGTAAGGCGAAGCTCTCGAAGTGCCGTAAAAAGGTTGTGCGTGATCAAAAAAGGCTTTTCGTTGACCTGAACTTTGTAACGCTTTACAGACACACCCCAAACATAGCTCAATGCCTCGAATTCGAGATTGTTCAAGGGGCCAGTAACTAGCTCACATTTAATGGCATCATTGTTCTCTCCACTCTTGAGACGGACGACTCGAATGCTTCTAGAATCAATCGCAAGCGGAGAATAGGCGTCCGAGTTCTTTTGCAAGATCCTGCGAAGCTGTCTAGGATATATGACCTCGAATAGCGGGTATCTGTATGTCGAAACCCAAATAACAAAGCCGACCGAAAGCAGTGATTGTCGAAAAAGTCGGACAGGGATGTTAATAGTAAGGAGAAGCAGACTCCACCCGATATATACCATCCACATGGAATAAAACTTAATGGTTCCGTATGCTAAATATGGGCATGTCAATGCCAGAAAGACGAGTCTCGATGTCCATGAAAGTGTAGACATCGCTTCGGGTAACCCTCGCCAACCTTGCATCATTGTGGGATGGAAAGACAGCACCCACATACTGCGAGTAGCCTGGAATCTCCGTAGCAGATCTTTCGAGAAGGCTGAAAGACTGCTACTGTCTCGATCCGAGCTAAAGTGATAGATCGAGTCAAAGATAACGTACGGCGTAATCCTGGTGCCGACTGGACAACGCTCCCAGAATGTTTTGTCCATTCTTCTTATGATCCATGACATGGCTTTGATCGGATAGGTTACAATTTCTTGAGTAAGGTGTGCGAAAACAGTTGTACAGTGGTTCGGTCGAGACACTCTTTCGTGTTCTGCGTTCGGGGACGCGGTAATTTTGTTGTGAAAGTCGTAGTCGGACGTTTTGGACGCGGAAGTTTTGCACGAAGCAGTCGACATTCTAAAAATATTGACGGTAGTAGATCCACTCGTCGACTATCTGCATTGCTTTATAGGTTGAGGGCGCGATAAATCCCCAGCGGGTACAAAAGCAACAAGAATGAAGTCTAGGCATCTACAGCAAAGGCCCGTACTGTGGTTCGAGCAAGCTCACATCAAAAACTTTATTTGTTAGGTTGTCCGTCTCAGGTTGCTCGAAGATGGTGGGTGTGCTGCGCCCCCCTCGGCATCCAGGCATACTACCCACCACGTCGCCGCCAACATAAGCCGCCACTGACGCACTGGGTCTGCACGCTTAGCGCAGGAAAACTCACTTCTTTCAACCGCATTTATTCTATAGCGATTGCGATGAGAGAGAGAGTGTGTGTGTAGAAAGACCACAAGGAAAGAGCTTCGCTAACATTACAACGTAAGGGCTATGGCCTGATCGTGCTCGGATATGTATTTATAGATATAAGGCGTGCCGCATTGCTCGCTCCATGCAAGGCCTGAGATTATCGTTTCAGCATTGGTGTGAAATCCCGTTGCTATGAGCAAAATATGCATCGCATGCTGGATCGAATGTTTGGAGGCCTTCCACTTTCTTGAGGTAACATGGGATTGCCCGGTGAAAACTGTATGACAACATTCATGGATCTTATATCAAATTGAAAATCGTTGGAAACAGTCGCTTTTGACCTCTTCTGATGTTATCCCTCATTCATAAGATTTTACAACAAGAGTCCTCCAATCACGCCAGCAACAACAGTAAGAAGGCCACCACCGACAACAGCATTAGCATCCGCAGCGCCCGTAGACTCAACCACAGAGCCTGAGCCAGTTGGGCTGACACTTCCAGAACCAACTGCAACACCAGTGCTTGCAACAGATTCCAGCTTGGAGCCAGACATGCTGTGTGAGCTCTTCATCGTAGCAGAGGACTCTGCAGCCTCTGTGGTAGTGGTCTCCGCTTGAGCGTTAAGCTTGTCCGCACCAGCTGTGACCACTAAGCCAAACGTGCTAACCATATCGGCGTCATATGTCGTCGTGCTGGTGCCGGGGAAGTTGGCTTCGGAACCACTAGCACTTTCCTTGCAAACCGCGCTCTCAGCAACCACGCAGTCCATCGTAGCGGTGAAGTCCGAGTCCGGGCTTGGATTTCCCATATTGATGTTGTAAGTCGAAGGTCCGACAACGAGAGTTTGAGCAGGGAAGAGACCACAATCGAGAGATTCAGGAGCGCAGGCGAGTGAAAGAGTAGTGGCGGTGGGATTCGCCGTAATGACGGAAGCGTAGAAGTCGGTAAAGACGGACGGGGCGTCAGTGGAGCCGATACCAATCCATGGGACTGAGATGGTTGTTGAAGCCTTTTGAGCAGCAACTAGACTGATGAGGGAGGCAAAAATATATCTTGAAGTCATGATGATATGTTGGTAGTATGTAAGTTTTAACGAGAGTAGTTACTGATGCAGCGCACAGATCAAAACGAGCGACTTGGTTGGCAGAATGAGCGACGAAGAGCGATGCTTACCATTGACTTGCAGATGCGGCTTCTTAAATATAAGACTTTCGCGAAGTTGTACAAGCTATCATGAATCTAGCTCTTTGCCGGTTGTGGCGTTCTAAAGGGGCTGGCGCCTGATGTTTAGCGGCCCTGAAAATTTCCCCCTCCCGTGGACGCCTACAACACGCCAATTACCGTGCTCAAAAGACCATTAGGATCGTGAGCTATCAGGCGAAGCCGGGCCGTGCGGCCATTGTACGCCTGGTGCGACCCACTGGCTGTGCAGAAGCAATGCATGCCTGCCTACTTGGACGTACATGAGATGCGACGTGAAAAGACCGGGCAAGGTTCGTGCGCGATCATTCAACATGTTCGTTCTTTTGGGCTATGTCCGACTCGGTCCAGAAGGTTATCCCACCAAGTAAAGTATGGCTCGTAGCCTCCGCCGCCTCGTGCATGATGAAGACTATGCTTCCGCGCACCACCGCCCCAACCCTTGGGTAGAATCTTCTCATAACCCCATGGCAGATCGAGTCCTGAATGTAGTTCGACTAGCAGCCAGACAAATATAGGCACAAACAACGTTCGTGTGAAGACATGACTCTTGATTATATTTAGGCTGAAGTTGGCCAGCAGCACCAAGCCCAGACGCTCAAAGATGTGCAGCTGATTCGTGATCTGGGGGTGTATCTCGGCGTGTCGATGATGTGGAGCGTGCCACCGCTTGATTACAGGTATGACGTGTAGCGAGAAGTGGAAGAGGAAGAAGAGGGCGTCGTAGAGGAAGAAGCTTGCGGCAAGCTCGAGGGCAACTCGTCGACTTGAAGGGGGGAGGTCCGGTAAAGCACGTTGTGTTTGCAGCGGCGAAGAAATCGTCATATTATGCAGGGTCGGCATTAGAAAGGTACTGCGATATGTTGAGGAGGAGTTGTTCGCAGCGATTGCAGCGGCTGCGGCGTGATAGTTGCCCGACTCAAGCATCGCCGTGAGCGGTACATCTGCAAACTTCTTGATCATGGTCAGATCCATGAGCAGCAACGGCGTCATGTACGTGGCGGCCTCACCCCATCGCCGCGAAGGTCGTCGCATGCCGTGTGGTTTCTTCACGTCTTCCCCGTTCTTGCCCTCCTGAACGCCAAACCTCCATTGCGGGTTTCGCAGGAAGACGACTGTCATAGAAACTTCGATCGCTGCATACAGAATGACGGTCCAGATGGTCTCGAAGGTCGAGAGGCGGTACACAGGATTCTGTATCAGCCATTGCCACAAAGGCGTAAGGACAGGCTGATACACGGCTGGGAAACCGACAGCAGAAAAGAACAGAGCTCCTAGGACGGTTCGGTACGTTGAAGCCATAGATTGTATTATTTCAAGCGACGAAGAGCTCCATTGTGTCTATCATTGTTCTGATAATTGCCTTCGGTAGGCGTTGTCTGGGCATTCACTCTTGACGTCATCTGGATTGGAATCGGAATGGTTCCGACGGGACTCCAGTCTCTCGCCTGAACAACGACTATCGTTCTACGTTGAACTGGTACCTACAACAGCCATGCTGGACATACAGCTTCGACCAATCAAAGACACGTTGTTCGATTCTATCACGCATCTCGTCCCCTGCTCTCTTTCCCCGCTCGCCATCACCATTCTCGCCTTTTTCTCTGGTGTCATTTCTTGCATCTACGCCGCCTCCAACAACATCCTGTTGAGCACCACATTTTGGGCGCTCAACAGAGCACTGGATTGTCTCGATGGAGCCGTCGCCCGAAAACGTAATCAGTCTTCAGATCTTGGTGGTTACTTCGACCTTCTGGGCGATTTCATTGTCTATTCAGCCATCCCAATAAGCTGCGCCTTAGCACAGAACGAGAACTTTAATGCGAGGAGGATTTGGTTCTCAGTGGCTGTCTTGGAAGCCTCTTTCCATGTCAACAACTTTGTCTTGTTCTACATAGGCGCCATCCTGGAGAAGCGTAAAGGCAGTGGCAGAGGTGAAAATACGACCAGGGTCAAAGAGCTGACCAGCGTCGCAATGCGACCAGCACTCATCGAAGGAACTGAAAGTGCAGTTTTCTTCACGGTCATGCTCGTATACCCCTGCTACTTGCAACAACTGTCTTGGACAATGGCTCTTCTAGTGTGCTTGGGTATCGCTCAACGAACAAAGTGGCTGGTGGAATCGCTTGGTTAGACAAACAAACAAGCTACAAAGATGAAGAGGGCCTTTCCTGCTTTACGATACCTTTCTCGCGCAGTCGCGAGATAACACTTCGTGCATCTCCTTTGCACGCTGCAAGCTCTGAGTTGGTCATCACCTCCCTAAGGCTACCGCTGGCTCCTTTCGATATAATGGTCGGGTAGCGGATGGTATTGGATTCGACGAAATCCTTTACCTACATAAATTTAGTGTGCAAGCTCAAGAGCGTTGCATCTTTCATAACAGTCACGTACCTCATCAGACAGCTCATCCCGGTGCCACTGGACAATCTTGTAGCCAGACTCGGCTTCGATCACCCTCTTTGCCTCAAGCCATGTTGGTGTCTCCTTTAGTGACAAACCGCCATGTGTGATATCGCCTGGTTATATCAGCATACTGTATTTTCTGTTAAACGCCGTAGTAAGTGAAGCGTACAGGCTGCACAAGCTGGATTCTCCTCAGTAGAATGGCAAATCTTTCGATATCCATATCGCAGCTTGCCAACGATGGATGCGTCGGCATTGTATAGGACATAAAGTGTACCTGACATCCTCGAAAACGCCATGTATTGAGAACCGTGAGATGATAGGCAAACCGATGTCAAGCCTACAGGTGGTTGGGATGCAATGATCGATGACGTATACGCCGCACGGACCTTGAGTGTCTGTCAGCCGACTGGTCTTCTCAGCAAACCACCGAAGTCATCAACCTGGCCGTCAATACTTTCCTGAGCCTATAATCGACGTAAATTTCATCCTCTTCAACCAACGGATCGAACTCCCCTTCAATCCAATCTTTGGCCAGACCTATGTAATGCCCTCAGATCCTGTCAATCTCAACAAGGCCTTCTCAGCAGCGCATGCTACGACAACTTCCATCGCTGCATTACTGTTGTTACGATATGCATCATGGCCAGTACTTCCGCCGAGGAGCGCATCTACACAGGACACGAATGAGAAGGAGCAGCACCTAGACGACACGCAAAATCCCATGATCAATGGCTACAATCGTATGGCTAACGCGCTGACCGCATGGGAAACGGTATACCTACTATACGATACCTACGCTATGGTTCGCACATATCGCATGAAAAACCGATTGTCATTTCGTGCTGCTTTGGGCACTGCGGCTCGCTCGTCACCTGTCGCTTTCGCCCATCATGTGTTGCTCTCATCCGCATTCCTCGTATTGCAAGCATATATTGCAGCGGGCAAAGAAAAAGGGATGTGGGTGATCACCGCATTCTTGCTAATGAATGGCAGTACACCATTGATGCATGCTCGATGGTGGAATCGGCAACAGACAGGAACATCAAATACTGCAATCGATGTTGCTTTTTTGACTACGTTCGCTGCTTCAAGATTTGGTGTTGTTGTTTGGATCTTGACAAAGTACGGTCAAAATCATGGTCTCGGCCCATGGCAATCATATACAATGTTGAGGAAACGATGTCAAATCGGGACTGCTATGCTAGTAGGGGTGAATGGTCTTTGGTGGACCATGCTGGCTGTCAATGTAGTAAAGAGGAACATCAAACGACGACTATATTGATATTATCTCATGTGGAACTACGCGATACTCGAATCATGATAGGCTCCGAGGGTCTTTGCGTGGGCAACTGCTTCATATGCTGAGCCCAATCCTCTGGCCTCACCGAATGGTTTGGTTCCCACCCCAGCCAACCGCGCACCCCACGCGATGCAACGTTGCCATGTATACCGATCCCGAGACGCACGAATGTCTCTGCTACAACCAGAGCAATCTCACGAATCGCGTCGCGACCCAAACATGTCTTTGGACCCGCCCCGAAAGCTACACCGGGCGGTACACTTTCGTCCAGATATCGGTTCGCGTCGAACACATCCCAAGACGATCCATAAGCTGTTGGATCGCGGCCACTGCCCACGAAGTAGAGCCAGCAGTCCCACCCTTTTGGTATCTTTATGTCAGCTTGGTCTCCTGGTGATGAGATGATGTTATCTCTTGTGGACCGTCTCATGATGCCTACAATTGGTGGGCTAAGTCGCTCTGTTTCCATGAGTATGGCGCGTAAGCGTAGCGAAGTTTTATCAGGATCACCTTCACTAGCCAAAGACTCTGCTAGCGACTGACCATCATTTGTTTGGTACAGGAACAGGTTCAACAGCAAAGCTGTCAAGAGAGACGCCAGCGCTTTGACTGCAAGGCTGCTCGTGAAAAGGACAGAGTGCTTTGCTACATCCTCCAATTCGTTGTCATCTGCAGTAGCAAATGGGCACGCCCTTTTTTCCTCCTTCAGATGCTGCGAGATTCTTGCTTGCAGCTTTCTGTTCGCCTCTTTGCCCTTCTTGCGAGGTGAATGCCAGAAGCCTGTGTTGACGGTCACCGGGAACAACGAGAACTGGCCTCGAAGTAAGTCCTCTTGCAAACTTTCTATCGTATCAAACAAACTGCTATTGCTGCCGAGGTCCAGAAATGTTCCAAGCAAGATCTTCCACGAAAGCGTCTTCAAGGACTCGTACATGTCGATTTCTGATATTGAAGGTTCAGAGAAATGCTGATCAGTGTGCAAACCCACTACAGAACGGAGCATCTCTTTCAAATCTTTCATTCTTGCTTCCCATGTCTGACGCATGGAAGCATGTTTCTCACCATCTGTCAGTAACAAGTTCGGTGACGGAAAGAATGGTGCCATCAGCTCAGAGTACGCGCCACAGGCTTCATACCCTGCCGCATCCTGGGCGAGAACTTGATGGATCTGCGCATATGAAGAAACAATAGCGACATTGCGATTCAGCACTTTCGCTCGAACTATCGCCCGGTTCTCCACAGCTTCTGGGTATTCTTTCTGGAAGGCGAGGATGCGCGATGTGATGAATGACTCCGGCGAGTTGTGAAAGGAAAAGCTCTCGGCAAACCCTCGCAGTATCGAGGAGCTACCTAGAGGAAGTTGTGGTTCTGGCTTAGACATCATGAGCTTTGTAATTGGCCACTGAGTCCAGACTGCGGCAACGCTTGACCCCATACCACGACGGTTGTATCGGCTGCGGGGTGTTGTGGTTGTTACGTCATCGACTTTGCGCCACGGCTTGGTAGCTACAAAGTCTATACATGATCTCTCAATATCTATGAAAAGTGTTCGCGTGTTACGAACGTTGCACCATGGCATTCGACACCAAACAACCCTACGATCATGCAACAAAAGGTCCTCCCGAAGATGACGTGATACCTTCCGCGCATCCAATTACCCCGAAACGGCCACTACTCTACAACATATACGCGTATATCTGCATCCTACTCTTATTAGTCAACTATTTTCTCGCCCAGTACGACAAGTTCATATTATCATATTTCCAGACTTCTGTACTAGCTGATCTTTCACTGAGCTCCACACAATATGGGCTCCTCTCCGGGTATGCAACAGGGATTGTCTACGCTATTCTCGCTTTACCTATCGCTTTCCTCTCCGACTACACGTCGGCTCGTGTATGGGTCTTATGTGTCACGGCAGCATGGTGGAGCTTATGTGTAATTTTTCAGTCTCTAGCGAACAATTTTGGTCAGTTGTTTTGCGCCAGACTTGGAATGGGTATAGGGCAGGCGAGCGTTGAGGCAATATCTATCAGCCTCATCAGCGACTTGGTGGGATGGAGAAATGTATTCATTGGAGAGAGCATACTCTATGTGGGAGTATACATTGGCGAAGCCATCAGCGGTCAAATCGCCACTGCCTTTACAGAGACTGGTACAAGCTGGCGCATTGCCTTGCGAGCGATCGGTATCACGGGATGTGTCGTCGCAGTACTATTACGAATATTTCTGCAGGAACCAAAGAGAAGAGCAAGCCTGGTGCAAATGAGCAGAGAACATCGTAACAACAACGTGAGCATGGAGTTCACAGATGTACCAACCTGCTCTCGAGGCATTTCAAGACTTCAGGCCGCCAAGTCTGATTTAGTTGCTACCTTCACTTACATTCTGCATATGAACTCATTCTGGCTTCTTGTCCTCTCGGCTGGCTTCCGTCAACTGAGCGGCAATGTCTTCGGATATTACATGCCCAGCTACCTCGGCGACACATACCCTTCACACACCGAGATCTTCTCCCGCTATGGCATCATCGTCGGTGTCGTAGGATCAGTCGCAGTGCTAAGTGGTGGCATCCTCACGTCGGTGCTATGGCCACGTACCCAGTTAACACCAGTTTACCTGACCGGCATCGGAGGCATGATAAGCGCGCTCTTCGTCCTCCTCATGGTCTTCTCGCGCGATATCGCCGACGGCTCAGAAGACCGAGGCATCAAGATTCTGTACGGCGTCATGAGTCTTGCGTATGTCACTGCAGAACTATGGCTAGGCTGCCTCTTTGCGCTCATTGCGTTGCTTCTTCCACCGCGCTACAAGACGTTTGGTCTTGCCATTTGGGGCAGCGTACAAGTACTCATCTATTCGTCAGGTCCACAGATCATCGGTCTAGCATTGATGAACGAGGAAACAGCAAGTGAGAGCTACAGGAAGGCTACGCAATTGTGCTTGGCAATCATTATCCCTGTTGGATATTGGCTTGCCGGTGCCGGATTCTTACTCTCCATACCATTGGTGAAGAAAGACTTGAGAGAAGAATTTGTATTGGGGAGGTTGAGTGGAAGAAGGAAGATTGGATCAGCCATCTTTGCTGGAGTATTGGCAGTTGTAGTCATAACATTGTTTGTTGTGAGTTTGGTGTATCAGGCGTGAATGCCCTCGTTGGTATATACATGTAGCAGATCAATAGTGATCAAATACTCCCAGTAGGTTTTTTTTGCATGTGATTCGGAGCTTACTCTCATCGCCTACTTGAAAGATAACCCCAAGAGATCTTCAATGCCGGCATAGAGTGGGCAAGCGTAATCCGCCTCAAGCAATGGCCGGACGGTCACCCCACTACTGCCATCCTTTCCTAATACGCCCAGTTCCTTCCCAAGCGCACTGCCAACCTTTGGCCATCCTACGCCTCCAGCGGGGTTCTTTGCAAAGTTCGCCCATGTTTTTTGCATGAAAGCACTGAGTTGAATCTGCTGTTGCGTTGCAGTGCCAAACTGGTTCGAAAGCGGATACGTGCCAAAGACCTCCGGAATCTCGCTTGTGTGGTATGCACCTGGATTGGGGAAGATACCAATAGAAGGGAAAACAGGGGTGAATAGATACCGGTAAGTTGTGCGTCCGGATATGGCGAGGTAATTTGCTAGCCTACCAGTCGTGCATGTGAAGACTAGATCTGTTCCAAGCCTATCGGCTACTTCGTACAGATCGGTGATACCTTGGGCGGCATATACGGCGATGATGGAGTCGCGAACAGCTTTTGACGTGATGTTATATTGATCAAAGAAGCTGTCTACAGCGGCGGTACCGTCGGTCAAGCCGGCCACGGCTAGGAAGACACGTGCTTCATTGAGGTTAGATCCTAGCATCGTCGGCACATTGGCGAACTTCCCAGTGGATATGCTCAGTCTGACATCAGGTGTCGAGGTGCCATCGTTATTGACTGGTGGAAAAGAAAGCGATTGCGACTCAATATACGCTTTGATATCC